CTTGGAAAGTGATTTTCAAATGCGCAAACTTCAAAGGCATGTGGAAATCCTACCATGTACAGGAGACAGACTAACATTAATCCACTTGACTGCTGCGTAAGAGCCTCTTTAATTTTTGTCTTGATAGGTCTTTAATAAGCCGTGAAGCGCAGAAGCTGCCTTCAGCTAAGCCGTGGCTTGGAATGATCTCCAGGTACCATCTCCTCCACGTTCGGTGCCCGTGATCGCCTTTGCAGCTGTGGCTGCATCACTGGGGCCTGCTAGGTGCCGCATTCAAGCCAAAGGGCGTGGAAAGTCCTGGGTGCTGAAGACCTGGCTGGAGCGGAAAGGTCTAGCCTGGCCATGGGCTCCATGGCTCTGGCAGCCAGAGGTCTGCTGCTTCGTTTCTTTTCTTTATTGCTTCTGCTCAAGGAAGGGGAGATGTCGCAGCAGTCCTTTCCTGCCTGACACAGCCTGGGCTGGAAGGGCTGGCAGTCAGGGTGCTGGGAGCAGCTGGCTGATGCTGTCCAACGTGGCAGGTGAGGGTGGCATGGCCGAGCTGCGGTAGGGCTTCTGGACAAGGTAGCTGGCTCAGGCAGCTCATGAGTATGCAGGATTTTGCAGTGGTTTCTCAGCAGGAGTTTGGTGTCTGATGTGGACTGGCATGGAGAGGGGAGAAGTGGAGGCAGCTGGCGGCACTGGCCTTGCACTTGGTTGAGCTGTGCTTTGTGTGGCACTAGTAGAGCTGAACTAAAAGTGCTCCAAAAATGCAGACTGGGCCAACCCGAGGCTCAGCTGGAGGCTTCCCACCTCACTGGCCCAGGGAGCAGAGCAGGGGGAAACTGGCTCACTCAGTGGCTCCATGGGCCAGACCCATTTTTGTACGTTTGGCTATCTCTGCTTGTAGCTCTCGGGTGTTGCCCCTGGCTGCTAGTGGGCAGTTAGACGAGACATGACCTGAGCACGGGGCTGGGGCTAGCAATTGCTCTGGGGGCTGCACCTCTCTGCCCCTCAGCCTGCTTGGCTGTGAAACGGGGAAGATGATCCCATTCAGAAGGCAGATGAGCACTTGCTAAGTGAACTGAAGTGGTCAAGACCCTTATCAGCAGGACCCCGTTGCAGGAAGGCAAACTGGTAGTGTCCTGGAGCTGCTAGGATGACCCCTCCTTGTGCCAGCCCCTTCCCTGCGTGGCCATAGGGAGGTCACTGGGCCCTGATCCGTATTGCTAAGCTGACAGCTTCTCAGGGCAGTGGCTGCCCCTCGGCCCACGTCTGTGCAGCACCCTGTGCCATGGAGCCCTGCTGTCAGCTGGGCTCTGCAAGTGCCGCTGCACTGCGAATAAATAATAGTGGTAACTGTGCAGTAAAGCGGGAGTTAAACGCAGTGCACTTGGAGAGCACAAAGCATTGAAAGGCACAAATTAATTAAGCTCCACAACCCCCCTGTGAGGAACAAAGGTAATTGCTATGTTCACGGTGCTTGTGGGGAGACCGAGAGAGGGATTCATTAGTGGTGGCATTAATACAGTGCTAGAAATAGTGCTTTAAACCCCTAGGAGATGCCTGTCCCCAGGGCTTTACTGCATAAACAGACCAGCTCCGCGCCAGGTATGGGTGCAGTGCCTGGCACAGGCTCCTAAACCAAGTCACTGGCAGAGCCGGGGCTGGAACCCAGGAGTCGTGACTCCCGGGCCACTGCTCTCATCCCTAGTGCCGCCTCCTCTCCATCGGCTAACTTCCACTTGGGCCAGAGCAGGGCTGTCCGACTCGTTTGGCCCTGGGGGGGTGGGGGCCGGATCCAAACCCTGGGGCTTCTCACAGGCCAATGACCCACCTCCAGAAGCGGCTTGTTGGCGCAGCTCCAGACCCCGGGGTGGGAACACCACTGTCACTTGCCTTCTTTCCCCCCCCATTGCTGGTTTTAGTCCCCAGCAGTGACCAGAGACCTTGCATTCAGCAGCAGATGGCGGGGAGGGAGGGAAGCAGCGGTGCCATTTGTTCTCTGGGGTCCGAGCCCTGCAGGCCACATGCAGCCCGTGGCCACCAGTTGGACCGCCCTGGGCTGAAGGATGAGCAGCTCCTGGGGACAGCAGCTTCTTTTGTGGGAGCACGAAAGGGCAGGCTCCCAAACGCTCCACATCCTGGCCTGGCTTAGTCCCTGTGCCGCATCCAGCAGACAACGCAGCTTCCTTCTAGCAGGCAGTAACCCAAATTCCAGGGAAGGCTGAAGCACCTGGTTCATAAACATCAGATGCATGTCGGTGTAATGGAAGGATTAAGTAGTGCAAGTTAGCGAGGTAGGCTAAATAATTCATTCCCTGGTATGTTATCAGCTGAAAATCTGTTAGCAATAAAAACAGGTGCGGAGAAGCAAGAGGAGCTGAATATTTCATTTAAAGGATGTCCTTTAGGATACGCTGCGCCTCTGCTGCTTGTGTTTGCCTCGAAGCAAGAACCAGCGATAGCACTTCAGGAGGGCCCTGCACAGGGAGCCAGTTTCCCATTTTTGCAGCTTTTTCTTCTGTGTAAGACAGAAAACTCTCTTGCAGACTGGCCCGGCAGCTGACTGGCAGCAGGAGGCCCTGCAGATGTGCTCCCTTAGGAGCTGCATTTGTGCACCCACGGGTGAAACACCTCAGGGCACAGGCAGCTCCCAAGCCCCGTTTGGGGCACACTGGCCATCCTCAGTCTGGGGTTAAATGTCTGAGCCCTGAGCTTTCCGAGACAGGAGCCTGGAGTGAGGCCATGAGACCACGTGCTTCCTGACCCCAGACCTGAACCTGACAGCTCTGCCGATTGATGCACATTTATCTCTTGGAAGAAGAGGAATTTCCCAGGATGTGTCGCTTGGGACAGACCTCGTCTGGCTGACCGGAGCCCCAGGAGGTCTAGACTCACCAAGGCAAGGACTCTCTAGCTAGTTTCCCCCGATATGTGATGAGACAGCAGAAAGTGGATTGCAGGAGCTGGGTCGCGGCGGTGTTTTGACGTCTGCATCCTGACGTCCGCACTTAATCCCATGGGACTTCCCAGCCTGCTGCAATGACAGATGGATCCGAGGATTATGCGTGCAGCTTCCTGGAGGCACTCGGGGTCAAGCGCCACACAGCCGTGTCACAGATCGGTGACTCCGACTGACTTGAGTATTGCCCAAACTACTTAAGGCACCGCTAGAGCTATGGAAATGGTGCTTCTTGTTGCTTGTCTGGGACTGTGAAGCACGGGAAGCCTGTGCTGGGAGGCTGTGAAGGTGGCAGGCACGAGGGAATGTCCTGAGAGGGTGAGGAGCTGGGTGGCAGCTGCCCACAGATGCTGAGCACTGTCCTGCAGGGGCGAGTGACTGAAGGGCTTGGGAAGACTTGGCTGCATCATGAAGCTTGCCGGGGGGCGAGGAGGGACAGGACCCAGCCAACCCCTCTTGGAAACAAATGAGATGAGAGCGATCTAGCCAGAAAGCTCATTCTAGAGCCACACTAAAAAAAAGCATCGCAGCACAAGTGCCTCTTGCTCAGACAGTGGTGCTGAACCCCCACCTAGGCCCTGCCTTGGGTCTGTGTAGCCTCCTGCTCCTTTTCCTGGCCAGGCAGGCTGCGAGTACAGTGGACTCAGAGCTGCCTTCCTCCTCTTCACCTGGGAGCACTCAACATCCCTCCAGCGTGGGAGAAGAGGGTGCACATGCATGCGTTGGGGGCTGCCTCCCTGATCCTCTGCTCGCAAAGCACTGCTCCTCCTCTCGCTTCCCATCAGGTTTTCGAGGCAAGTCAGCGCTCACGGCATCAGATCCGTATGTGGCCTCCACTTCCCTCACAGGCTGGTGCTCTGGGCTTAGCCCTGCTGCCCTCGGTGAAATTGCAGGCTTACATTTTAAGTCTTTCCATTTGCATCGAAGACCAGCGCTGCGTGCGGGGGGCAGACAGGAGCTGGGACAGCTGCGAGGTCGCTGGTTCTCTCAAAAAGGCAGTTGAGCGCTGAGCAAGTCCAAGCCCCAAATGCTGAACACATCCCTGGCCATGCAGGTTAGAGGATAACCCAACTTTTTTTTTATGTGCCGCTGATTTGTTTTCTCAGCAGCACGTGTGCACACCCTTGGCTGGCCAGGCCAGCAGTGTCCATCTCTTCGCCAGTCTCCTTTTCCACCAACTTAATTGATTTTTCTCCTTGTTTTAGCAGACAGATTCAATAAGGGAGCCAGGAGCTTGTATCTCACCACTACCCTGGCTTCCCAAGGATTTTGGTGGGCTCTGGACTGGGGCCTGAGCAGTCTCCCATCCCCTTGGCTGGACGAGCACTTGTCCACCTCATGGGACCTTTTGCATTTAGTTAGACAAACATTTGGGTGCAGCAAAGTGACAGCTCTTGGCCCTCAATCACTGCTCATCAGGAGCTTTCCAGATTTCTCTGGTTTGAAGTGCAGAAAAGGTGATGAGAGGATGATAACTGTCATTTGACTGCATAAGAAAGCTGTCAGTGAAAGCTGTCTTGCTCCTGGAAATGATCGGGGCTCAGGAAGCTCACGGTTGGGAGCTGAAGCACATTCTGGCTCCACACAATACACGCGCTAATCTTTTCCAGGCAACAACCGCTAAGGCCGGAGACGTTTGGGTTTCTTCCGTCAAACGAGTCTGATGCATAATCAGGATCTGATTGTACAGAGCCTTGGCATTTCCAGCATTGCATAGCAAATGTAATTTCCTTAATAAGTGTGTGAGCAGAGCTATCAGCCTTTCAGGGTCGACCAGAGAATGTAAATGGCTGCAGTTAGTGTAGGAGCAAGCAGGTAAGTATGTGAGAGCACAGTGTTGGCAGTGGCTAGGGTCATGGCTGTGATGAAATTAAGGCGACTGCTTGTGCTGCTTAAGTAGGGTGCGGGGCCCATCAAAGGAGAGTAGGAAGGGCACAGTTTGGGAGATGTCCTGGGTGACATGAGTGACCATAAAGCCCATTTCATGTTTGGTAACAATGGTAAGGTCTGTTTATAGCCGCTTCTGTTTGCAAAACAGCTAATGCACGAGACCTGGGGATTGATATCTGTAAGATGGAGTTTAGAATCAGTGGGCAAAAAAGTCTCAGCTTTCTGAGACAGAAATGAATTCTGACATCTTAATTATAAGTTCAGAGGAAAGGTTGGTGCTAGAATTGTGAGCTCTGAAGATTATTATTATACTGTCATTATTCATTAATGACTGCAAAAGAAACCAGCTCTGCACGGGAATGGAAAATTACAACTTCAGCTATGGAGCTGCTATTACGCACTATTTATTTTTCAAAGGACTCCTCGACTAGTAGCACAAAACAAAGCTATTAATAAGGCTTCGCCATCCAGTCACATTCGTTGCTTTACAATGGTAAACACCACCTCTTTTTTTGGCTGGCTATCTTGAAATTTCTGTCCGTCTCTGCCATGCGTTTCACTATTTTAAAACTACATGTACGTGGGACAAACTATCTGGAGCCAAAAGGAGAAATATGAGTTGCAGAATGGAAAGTCCCTCTCCCTGGGATGCGGGGCTCTGGGTGGGTGGTGGCTGTCGTGTTGTAGCGGTAGAAGGTCCTGGGGTGTGAGAGAAGCATAATTGCCCAGGGGATGCAGTATCTTATATTGGACCAGTTTGCATTGTTGGGAGAGGTGAGAGACCAGCTCTTGCACTTGGAGCAGTTTTCATCATCTTTGGGAAAGAGGCAGGTACAGTCCAAGCTGAACAATTGCTTTCGTTTAACCTAATGGGAGAAACAAATGGTAAGTCAAACCAGTCTGACTAACTAGGTAAAGCCAGCACCCCAGGATCCCTGTGCTGCTGCAGGTGCACCGGTGCTGTGGCTTCATTTTAAATCTATTTTCCTCCATGCACTTGCCATGGCAGTCTCTACCGGAAACTGCTTTCACTCGAGTGGCTGCCCTAAATTTGGTAGGTGCCTTTTTGCCAGGTGAACAGCAGCAGAAATAACAGATTCAATTTAATAGAAAGGGTTGTTATAAACACAGCAGACTTTTGTCTTTTCTTTTTAAATTGTGGATGATTCTTGGCCAGTGGTCTTTGAGGCTGGTTTCTGCTGCACGTGGACCACTGAGATG